GTGGGAAACAAGAATTTGAACCCGATGAATCGAACACGCAACCTTCTGATCTGGAGTCAAACGCACTACCATTGCGCCATAGATCCCTTACCATTATGTCATTCTAGTTCTAGTGCTACGTGGCCTATAAATTAAGCCCAATCCCAATATAGAATGGAAAAGGTTAAATTTGGAAGATTCATATTATCAAAAGAAGGAATGCTAGAAAAAGTGGGAAACACGAATTTGAACCCGACGTGAATCGAACACGCAACCTTTTGATCTGGAGTCAGACGCGCTACCATTGCGCCACGGATCCCTTACCATTATGTCAGTCTAGTTCTAGTGCTACGTGGCCTATAAATTAAGCCCAATCCCAATATAGAATGGAAAAGGTTAAATTTGGAAGATTCATATTATCAAAAGAAGGAATGCTAGAAAAAGTGGGAAACACGAATTTGAACCCGACGTGAATCGAACACGCAACCTTCTGATCTGGAGTCAGACGCGCTACCATTGCGCCACGGATCCCTTACCATTATGTCAGTCTAGTTCTAGTGCTACGTGGCCTATAAATTAAGCCCAATCCCAATATAGAATGGAAAAGGTTAAATTTGGAAGATTCATATTATCAAAAGAAGGAATGCTAGAAAAAGTGGGAAACAAGAATTTGAACCCGACGTGAATCGAACACGCAACCTTTTGATCTGGAGTCAGACGCGCTACCATTGCGCCACGGATCCCTTACCATTATGTCAGTCTAGTTCTAGTGCTACGTGGCCTATAAATTAAGCCCAATCCCAATATAGAATGGAAAAAATTAAATTTGGAAGATTTGTATTATCAAAAGAAGGAATGCTAGAAAAAGTGGGAAACACGAATTTGAACCCGACGTGAATCGAACACGCAACCTTCTGATCTGGAGTCAGACGCGCTACCATTGCGCCACAGATCCCTTACCATTATGTTAGTCTAGTTCTAGTACTACGTGGCCTATAAATTAAGCCCAATCCCAATATAGAATGGAAAAGGTTAAATTTGGAAGATTCATATTAACAAAAGAAGGAAGGCTAGAAAAATGGGAAACAAGAATTTGAACCCGACGTGAATCGAACACGCAACCTTCTGATCTGGAGTCAGATGCGCTACCATTGCGCCACGGATCCCTTACCAATATGTTAGTCTAGTTCTAGTGCTACGTGGCCTATAAATTAAGCCCAATCCCAATATAGAACTGAAAAGGTTAAATTCGGAAGATTCGTATTATCAAAAGAAGGAATGCTAGAAAGAGTGGGGAACAAGAATTTGAACCCGACGTGAATTGAACTCGCAACCTTTTGATCTAGAGTCAGACGGGCTACCATTGTGCTACGGATCCCTTACCTATATGTCAATCTAGTTCCAGTGCTACGTGGCCTATAAATTAAGCCCAATCCCAATATACAATGAAAAAGGTTAAATTTGGAAGATTGGTATTTAGCAAAAGAAGGAATACTAGAAAAAGTGGGAAACAAGAATTTGAACCCAATGAATCAAACACGCAACCTTTGGATCTGGAGTCAAACGCACTACCATTGCGCCATAGATCCATTACCATTATGTCAGTCTAGTTCTAGTGCTACGTGGCCTATAAGTTAAGCCCAATCCCATTATAGAATGGAAAAGGTTAAATTTGGAAGATTTGTATTATCAAAAGAAGGAATGCTAGAAAAAGTGGGAAACACGAATTTGAACCCGACGTGAATCGAACAAGCAACCTTCTGATCTGGAGTTAGACGCGTTACCATTGCACCACGAATCCCTTGCCAATATATGTCAATCTAGTTCTATTGTTACAACCTTCTGATCCGGAGTCAAACGCGCTACGATTGCCCCACGAATCCCTTCTCAATATGTCACTCTAGTTCTATTGCTGCGTGGATATACAATGGAAAAGGTTTCGAATCGAACACGCAACTTCCAGATCTGGAGTCAATTGCAATACCTTCACGTTGTTAGAATGAACACGACTCTCCACAATGGTATGATATTGTCCACTTTGAGCATAAGCTCTCATGGATTTGCTTTGGGCTTCCCCAAAATACTTCATATGAATGGAGTTAGTATTCCTCAACTTATAAACCCGTTAGTATTCCTCAACTTATAAACCCATAATCATTTCCTATCCCTCTCTCGTTAGTACGTTGGCGTTAATTAATTAAGCTCACATTCCGCCATGCATCTCTTTAACCATGGATCATTCTAGTTTTAGCCTACGCGACCTATAAAAATTCTGTCCAAGCCGATGCAACCTTTGAACCAAAGTTCGAAGACTACCATTCCGCCACTGGTCCACTAGTAGTACTCCATCTTTTTTTAATTAATATTAATGGTTTAAAAAATGTAAATGTCTAATTAATCGAATAAATGTTCTATAACATTATTAAAATGTAATCTAATATTTGTCAAATCAATTTGGACGGTTCATCTTATAATCCTATGACTAAGGTATTTATTTGCGTTTTTGATGTTTGAAACCCTAGGATTCTCACTACCCTTTTTTCTTCTTCGTTTTTCTCGTGCATATAAATTCGCATCTTTTCGTCTGCCCCCTCTGGAGCACGTCTCTGAGCCTAATTAGTTTTCTGTCTACTCTCCTCTTTGCACCTTTTCTCATACAGAGCCATGTCGGACGAGGAGCACCACTTTGAGTCGAAGGCCGACGCGGGAGCTTCCAAGACTTTTCCGCAGCAGGCTGGAACCATCCGTAAGAATGGTTACATAGTCATCAAGGGCAGGCCTTGCAAGGTTTATTTCGTTTTCATTCTTATTCCTCAATTCGCTCCGATCCTTTTCCCCATCTATCCATGTAATTCTTGTTTAACATGTGATATCTATGCGTTATATCTTTTGCTTCAATTTTCCTTTTCTTGTTGCCCTATTTATATAGCTTTTTATAGGGTTATCCGTATTCAATCTTGTTCTGTGATTTTTGGTTAATTGTGTTTCTTTGATTTTCTATGATTTTACTTTTAGATTTTTTTCCATAGATCACATGTTTGCTTGAATGAAATTAATGAATCGGTTGAAGCTACCATATTTCGATCTGTTTCTCTCTAGGGCTTTCGTCTTCCGTGGTTTCTGCATATTATTTGTTATGTTGTATTTATGTTCTTCAATTAGCAATCTTGGCCTAAGACTTATGCATTGCTGTTTTGTAGGTTGTTGAGGTTTCAACCTCAAAGACGGGAAAGCATGGACATGCTAAATGCCACTTTGTTGCCATTGACATTTTCACTGCTAAAAAGCTTGAAGATATCGTCCCCTCTTCACACAACTGTGATGTATGAAGATTCTTTTTCCTTTCCGTTTTATACTTTTCCAGCAGGTTGAAGGTTTGTTTGTACAAGTTTTTGATTTCTGATTCTTTTAATTGTAAAACACAGGTTCCCCATGTCAACCGTACTGACTACCAGCTCATTGATATCTCTGAGGATGGATTTGTATGATCAAATTCTCTTTCTTTATATCTTCGTATCAGTTTCCCTTGCTCATCCATCCGTTTTGAGTACTGTAGCTAATTCTAATTTCAATGAAAACTTACCAGATTAGCCTGCTGACGGACAGTGGTAACACCAAGGATGACCTGAGGCTTCCATCGGATGAGAGTCTGCTGTCCCAGGTACGATTTTCTTATTGGCTGTTGACATTTTCTTGTCCTGCTGTGTTCAATTTGTCTTTAATTGCCTTGTGAAGACCTCATTGCTTGTTAGGGCGAAACTATTTATTTCCTCCACTCCTTACAGTATATTATCCGGTACTTGTTTGGAGTTCTAAACGTGGATGGCTGACTGTTTTTACTATCCTCACACGCCCCCCC